CATCCCACCTACCTGCACACACCCATCACCATCCCACCTACCTGCACTCGCCTATCACCATCCCACCTACCTGCACTCGCCTATCACCATCCCACCTACCTGCACACGCCTATCACCATCCCACCTACCTGCACACGCCTATCACCATCCCACCTACCTGCACACGCCTATCACCATCCCACCTACCTGCACTCACCTATCACCATCCCATCTACCTTCCCCAGCCCGACCCCCCCCCCCCATTTTTTTCAGAGCCCCCTTCCCTTCCCCCATTTCTGAAGAAGGGTCCCGATCCGAAACGTCAGCCTTCCTGCTCCTCTGATGCTGCTTGGCCTGCTGTGTTCATCCAGCTCCACACCTTGTTATCTCAGACTCCAGCATCGGCAGTTCTTACTATCCCATTCTAAGAGAACCCATGTGGCCTCATCCAAATGCTATAATCCATTCATGCATCGGCTGTCCGTCACAGACGAGGATGACTCTCTTCCACTGTCAGGGTGAGTCCATAGGTGGCCATACAGACCAATGTGGCTACCACAGGCTCTGTTACACTTGGGATAAAAGATGGTTACGGGAAGGGGTGGGTGAGGTGTTGGTGTGGCAGCAGTCTCCTTTTGCTGTTTTCACCTGGCTTCCGCTTTTTCCCAATAGCGAGTCTCAAGGTGCTCAATACCTTCCTGGATTCACCTCCTCCACTTTGGGTGGTCTTGGGCCAGTGATTCCCAGTGTCTGTGGGAATGCCGCACTTCACCAGTGAGGCCGTGAGGGTGTCACTGAAGCGCTTCCTCTGTCCACCTGGGACTCGCCTGCCATTTTGAAGCTGGGAGTAGAGTAGCTGCTTGGAGAATCTTGCGTCAGTCATGCTGACAACATGCCCAGCCCATCATAGTCAATCAAAGGTGTCAGTGCTTCGATGCTGGGGATGTTGGCCTCGTCGAGGACTCTGATGTTGGTGCGTCCTTTTTCCCAGCAGATTCACAGGATCTTGAGCAGGCAATGTTGGTGGTACTGCTCCAGCGCCTTGAGGTGTCTGCTGTAGACAGTCCACGTCTCAGAGCCATATAGGAAGGTGGGAACCACCACAGCTCTGTGAACCATGATCTTGGTGTCAGAACTGATGTTGTTGTCCTCAAACACCCTTTTCCTCAGGCGGCTGAAAGCTGCTGTAGCACGCTGAGTGCAGTGCTAGATCTCTTCATCAATAATTACTTTGGCCAACAGGACAATCCTTAGGTATTGGAAATGGTCAATATTCTCTAAGGCCTCTCTGTGAACTTTGATGATCGGGGGTTTGTTCACAATGCCAAGCCAGGTTGATGAAGGACCTACATCTTGCGGATGTTCAGGATGAGACCCATGCTCTCATATGCTTCTGTAAAGGTGCTGACGATGGTCTGGAGTACGTCCTTGGAGACTGCACAGACACAAGCTGTGAACTGCAGCTCCAAGACACTGGGACTGGGGGTGACTTTGGTTTTGGCTTGAAGGCAGTGGAGGTTGAATAATTTCCCACAGGTTCTGTACATTAGCTTCGCTCCAGCCAGGTGTTTGTCAGCAGTGAGGTGAAGCACTGCAGCGAGGTAGATTGAAGATGGTGTTGGGGCAATGACACAACCCTGCTTGACACTGGTCCGAATGGGGAATGGGTCAGTGGTGGATAATTTGTCATTACCACTTTTAATTCAACAAAAATGGTGAAGAGAGTGACATAACAAGGTGTGGAGCTGGATGAATACAGCAGGCCAAGCAGCATCAGAGGAGCAGGAGAGTTGACGTTTCGGGCCTAGACCCTTCTTCAGAAGAAGGGTTCCAACCCGAATCTTCAGCTTTCCTGCTCCTCTGATGCTGCCTGGCCTGCTGTGTTCATCCAGCTCTTCACTTTGTTATCTCAGTCTCCAGCATCGGCAGTTCCTACAATCTGTAAGCGAGCGACATGGTGGTTTTGTCAGTAGTCTACTAATTTAGAGGCCCAAGCCAGTGCTTTTGGGGAAAAAGAGCTCAAACCTCACCACAGATGGTAGAATCTAAATCCAATTAATAAATCTGGAACCCAAAGCTAGAGTCAGTAATGATGACTATCATGACTAAATGTTTTTTGTGAAAACTTACCTGGTTCACAAATGTCTTTTAAGAAAAGGAAATTTGCCATCTTTACCTGGTCTGGCCTACAGAGACTCCAATAACAGCAATATGGTGACCCTCGGAGGATCAGTTCAAGGGCAGTTGGGAATGGGCAACAAAACCTGGTGATAACAGCAGCTCCCATGTCCCACAGAAAAAAATAAAAGAAAACAAGACCGAACTCTGCCACCAGGGAAAACCAATGTAATCCAATCCATTCCCAGATCAGATGGAATCTATTCCAACCCATTCCAAAGCAACCATGTCATCGTTTGAAGAACTCAAAGCTGACCCAACCCAACACCACGATAGGCAGATCACAAATGTCAGCTGGGAATTTTAGCTGAGCAGCTATGAGGGCATGTTGGTCAAAGTTTATATCTGATAGAACTTTGGGTTAAGTGTCTTTTTGAACAGAAAAGGGAATATGTAGCTCCCCTCACATGGAGACCAAAGGCCCAATTTGCTCCCAATGGATTGTGAAACTTGATGTTTGCTGTACTTAATAAAATAGGAGTCAATATTAAACTTTGTGCTGGTGATATGACTCCGTCTTTAAAATAGTGTCACTCCTCAACCTGACTATTAGTATAGAAATGACCATTGCCTCAATTGTCAACTGTTCATTTCAAACATGTTCGCGCCTTCTCAATAACACAAAACTCACACGAATGACATACAAACTCATCAGATATTCAGCCACTAATATACAGAGGGCATCAGAGTATTGAGTGTGCGTTTCTTGCTTACAGAGTAATAATACATCCCATTTGGAGTTAAACCCATAAAATATTCTCGAGCAATTGCAATTTCTAAAACTTGGAGGGGGTGAGAATGACCAAATCTGGTTTTTAAAAAGCCAGTCAGCATCATCCCCACCCTCCCCTCACCGCCAGACTATCCCCAACACCCCTTGTTCAGTTTAGTTTGTCACTGGTTACATTGTCAGGTCAGCTACAGTATACTGCACTTTATCCTTCTTCTGTTTTTTGTTTTGCTGCTTGGCTTTTCCCGGCTTTCTTTTGTCCCGTCCACTTTTCAGGCTAACTTTCCTTTTCCCAGCAAGGCGGGTTTTGCAGTGTTTAAAAGGGGCATCTTTCACATTCAGTCCCGTGACGTTTTCTGGGAGGCTACAGACAGCTGTGACCTTTACGTTGGCATTTGCAATCCACCTTTCAAAGATAAAAGCGTGTTACTGTTTAAAATAAACACATCTGTCCCACACTTGTAGTGGGATCTACAAAAGAATTCGTGACTTGCATTTAGATCATAGAGATGTACAGCACAAAAACAGATCCTTCGATCCAACTCGTCCATGCTGACCAGATCCCCTAAATTAATTTCTTTTTTCTATATTCATTAACGGGATAAGGGTGTCACTGGCCAGGCAGTATTTACTGCCCATCCCTAATTGCCCAGAGGGCAGTTCAGAGTCAACCACATTGCTGTGGGTCTGGAGTCACATGTAGGCCAGACCAAGTTAGGATGGCAGTTTCCTTTCCTCAAGGACATTAGTGAACATTGGGTTTTTCTCAACAATTGACAATGGATTCATGGTCATTATTAGATTCTTAATTCCAGATATTTTTATTCAATTCAAATGCCACCATCTGCTGTGGCAGGATTTGAACCCAGGTCCCCAGAACATTATCTGTGTCTCTGGATTAACAGTCCAGCAATAATACCACTAGGTCATCGCCTCCCCCTGATCCCATTTGCCAGCATTTGGCCCATATCCCTCTAAACCCTTCCTATTCATGTACCCATCCAGATGCCTTTTAAATGTTGTAATTGTACCAGCCTCCACCACTTCGTCTGGCAGCTCATTCCATATACACACCACCCTCTGTGTGAAAAAGTTGCCCCATAGGTCCCTTTTAAATCTTTCCCCTCTCACCTTAAACCTATGCCCCCTAGATTTAGACTCCCCGACCCTGGGGAAAAGACCTTGGCCCTCATGATTTTATAAACCTCTATAAGGTCATCCCTCTGCCTCGATGTTCCAGGTAAAATAATCCCAGCCTATTCAGCCTCTCCCTATAGCTCAATACCTCCAACCCCAGCAACATCCTCGTAAATCTTTCCTGAACCCTTTCAAGTTTCACAACATCTTTCCTATAACAAGGAGACCAGAACTGAACGCTGTATTCCAAAAGTGGCCTAACCAATGTTCCATACAGCCACAACATGGCCTCCCAACTTCTATATTCAGTGCACTGACCAATAAAGGCAAGCATACCAAATGCCTTCTTTACCATCTTAATACTTCTCACTCCCTTTTCAAGAAACAATGAACTTGTGTCCTTTATCACTTCAAGATGCTCTAAAGTGTCCCGCAACCAGTAAAGCGTTTTTTGAAGTGTAGGTGCTGTTGTAACGTATGAAATGTAGTAGCCAATTTATTGACAAGCTCTTACAATCAGTAATGTGGTCATGACCACAATATTGGCATTTTAGCTTTGGTTGATGGATAAAAATTGGGAAGGATGCCAGGGAGAACAGCCCAGCTCATCTATCAATTATGCTTTGGACTAATTTTTGACCCTTTAGAGGGCAGGCCAGGCTTCAAAGTCTCATCCCTAAGTCAACACCTCCAATGGAGCGGGATTTGAACCCACTCAGCAACAGTGTTGCACCAGTACTAAATGTGATAAAACATCCCACAAATCTTCAGAGAAGGGAGGGAATGCAGGGCAGAAAAGAACTGGAATGAATTGGATGATTGATCAGGGTCAAAGAAGTTCATTTTGAGGCTTTTAAATGGGGATAGTGTTGTCTACTTCACCATCAGAGAGGCAAACGTACTGTTGCGAAGTTGGGTAGAGTACATGCAGATTGGGAGGCCAGAAGTTAGGATTTGGTGTTTGTAAAATGTTAGGGGGGACTGCATTGCATGGTGCCTGTAAAAGATCATGTGCTTTTTCTGTGATTAGAGATTTAAAATGGATGTCTGTGAGCAGCAGCTTGAAAGTTTGTAAGTACACAGAGAGCACCCGAATTGAAACATTTGTTCTGAAAGGCCATACAATTAGCAGGCCAAGCAGCAGTTTTTACCAAGACAACAAATTTTGAATTTTGCCAATCAATTCGAACTAAACACTTAGATACCAAAAACCAATTAAATTTAAATCTGATAGTTTTGACAACATAGGACCAATCTTATTTTTAAGAAACATTGATATGTCATCAAGGGTATAAAAGAAGGGAGCAGTTGGAAAACCCCCAGATCTGACGGCCATCTGACAGAGCTAACAGCCCTTAGTTCTCAAGAGAGAATCCCTGGCTCCCACAGCCTCCTCTATGTCTTAGAGAAAGCACCGTTTAAACAACAAAGGTACCCACAGTACAACTAGTTAATATTTCTGACAGAAGAATCAACGAAGAAGGCATTCTTGATGGAAGAATTGACAGAGAAGGCACAGAACATTCCGGAAGACATGTAACCTGGCTGTAATTTCGAGAGATTAAATTCTATTTTTATTTTATAAAGGCAGGACTTCTTTTTATTGTAACAGCATATCATTAGAATCTTGTTTTATTTGGGAATGGTTAGTAGTTAGAAAGAGTTTATTCAGTTTGTTAATAGTTTAGTTAATTTGTTCACTGTTAGAGTTAGATAAATAGATTATTACTTATTGATTATAAAGTGAGTGTCGGGGATTTCCTTTATTTAACCAATAGAAGTTGCTGAAAGGCAGGTTACACCACTTTTCACAATCTTTTTACAGATTATAGGGCAAGGTGCTCAGTTCTCAGAGCGGGGTCAACCTCCGCTTTATAACTGTAAGAAGATTGAGCCAGACAGCAACATACACGCTGATGTTTTGCAGACGGAGGTGTGTGCAGAAGCTGCAAAATGGAATAGTGGAAGAGCTGCAGAGGCTGAGAGTGCGAGGGAACACATAACACAAATTCTGTGGATGGCACGGTGGCTCAGTGGTTAGTCCTGCTGCCTCACAGCATCAGGGACCCAGGTTCAATTCTACCCTCGGGTGTCTGTGTGGAGTTTGCATCTTCTCCCCGTATCTGCGTGGGTTTCCTCCAGGTGCTCTGGTTTCATCCCACAGTCCAAAGACGTGCAGGTTAGGTGGATTGGCCATGCTAAATTGCCCACAGTGTGCAGGCCAGGTGGGTTAGTCTTGGGAAATGTGAGGGTCACATGGATAGGGGAGTGGGTCTAGGTGGGATGGTCTTTGGCAGGTTGGTGTGGACTCATGGGCCAAATAGCCTGTTTCCACACTGTAGGGATTCTATGACAATGCGTTTATATAAGAGCAAGAAAGTTATGTTAAAGTTTTAAAAAAAAAACACTGACTCCCCCTCAACTGGAGTGGTGTGTCCAGTTCTAAGTGCCACATTATTGGAAAAGTGTAGCAGCTTTAGTGAGGCTGCAGAAAAGAATCTTGGGATGGGGAATGTTCAGTTCTGTGGACGGATTGGAGAAGTTTGGAATTGCTATCCTTTCAGGAAAGGAGGTTGAGAGGAGGTTTAATACAGATATTCAAGTTCACAAGAACAGAGTAGATAGGGAGAAAATGTTCCCATTGGTGGAGGGATTGAGAACAAGAGGGATCAGATTGAAGGTAATTACCAACAAAAGAGTGGAGCCACAGGGAGAAACGTTCACACAGTGAGCGGCTGGAATCTAGAATGTGTGTCTGAGACTGTGATGGAACATGGGTCAACTGAGGCTTTTAAAAGAGGTTTGCATTGTGATCTGAAAAAGGGCGAAGATGTTAGGCTGCAGGGAGAAAACAGGGGAATGGTATGAGATGAATTGATCGTGTGGAGAGCCAGCATTGACCTAGTGGCTGAGCCACCTCCATCTGTGGTGGAACAGCTCCCTTTTTGAAAGTTTTTGAACTGAAGCTGGGAGAACCACAGAGGTTGGCAAAGGCAAGTGGGGTAGGTGAGCAGAACTTTGTATGAGTTAGGGAAATGAAAACAGATTTGTTTCATGTTGTTAACCCAAAGGTCAAAAGTCAACCATCAGAGACTCTGGAAGTCACATGCTCTCTCTCTTTGACTACTTGTCTTGGAAGTGCTTGCTTTATTTTAGAAAGTGCAATCTTCTTTAATAAAGAGCTGACCCTGGTTGGGGACCTACTCCACAGGTAACCTGAGCCAGCTGCCCATTCTACACCAGTGTGGAACAACAACAACATCCACTAACAACCATCGTAACTGAGATGAAATAAATTCAAACCGAAATAAGTGCGGATGCTGGAAATCAGAAATTGCTGGAAGAGCTCAGCAGGTCTGATAGCATCTGTGGAGGGAAATCAGAGTTAACGTTTCAGAAGCGTCACTGGATCCAAAACTTTAACTCTGATTTCTCTCCACAGATGCTGCCAGACCTGCTGAGCTCTTCCAGAAATGAAATAAATTCAGCCCAACCGAGGATGAAACCTAATTGGTCTATGGGTCAAACTGGGCACAGACCCACTGGAGAACTCCCCAAATTCATTGCTGAGTCGTGATGAACAAATGAAGAATATTGAGCAAAACTCTCTCTACAAACATGAGCAACATGTGCTCAAGATATCACAACAGATTAGGCTCAGAGCTCTACCAGCAGGAGACTTAACCTCCCGACCTCATTATCGATATGATCTTTCTGAGTGAGACTGCAAACTCAATTCACATTAGGACAAATTGTCAGGACTCTTACTTTCTCTAACATCACCTGCCAGAATGTGGTTTGAGATAGGGCCTGGACATTTTCTCCTGGGCCTTCACAACCCACAGAAAGCAAACATTGTCATCCCTCCCACTCTGCTTTGGCTCCAAGCTCAGCAGACAGAGGTGAAAGGCCCATGAATCAATCTTTAGAATGGATCAGTCCCCTTGTCCGTCTCTTTAAGCACCTACTGTCCTCCCCCGCAGATCCCTTTCCTCTGGGTCTCAAACACTCCTTGGTTGACAGTGTGGTCACTCATTCCCGATGAGGGCGATGTCAGCTCCTGACTGCTTCCCAATATTCCCGCTGGCATGTGAATGCACACAGCGTCAGTCAAGGAGAAGGCTTGCCTCAACTGTGATGGTCCCCATAGTCAAATACCCAAACTCCGTCTGGATTTACATTTGAAGAATGACCACTAGGACAGACTACCAGATAATACCCTGCGAAATCTGCACGAGAATATTTGTACTGGATGGGGACCTTCATCTCCTCAAACCTGTTCCCCATTCAATTTGATTGCGGCTAATCTTTATTTTAACTTAATCGACCCAACTTTGTTCCATTGCTCTCATCCCCATCGCCTAGCGAAACTCAATTCACTAGTGTTTTGAAATTTTCAATGGGCCACAAGCCTCCATGTCTTGTTGAGGAAAAGTGGGTTTCACATTAACTCCGCCCTTTGTGTGAAAAATCCTTCCAGTCTTCATCCCTGGGTGCTCTGCTTTCAGATTTAAAGCCTCTTGTTCTGGGCATCCCCTCAATAGGAAACAATTTCTCTCAATCAACCGTTCAAATCCTTTCATCAGTTGGAAACAAAAACCTCAGTTTATGCAGAAAGGGGGTTACTGGTGGGACCATCAAAAATTATTTCAGACCAATGTTACAATTGGGAATACGGCCTAATTTAGAAGTTGCCTAAATCTTGGCTGGAAACTGAATACCTTGACAACATTCAATGATACCACCCACAAGCAGTAATCTCAAACCTCGTATAGATCCAGTTAAGAGGTAAAAACCGAAAGAACTGTGGATGCTGGAAATCAGAAATAAAAACAGAAATTGCTGGAAAAGCTGAGCAGGCCTGGCAGCATCCGTGGACAGAAATCAGAGTTAAATGTTTCGGGTCCGCTCGATTTCTCTCCACAGCTGCTGCCAGACCTGCTGAGCTTTCCCGGCAATTTCTGTTTCGAGGTGTTTACCTGCGGAGGTGGAGGAGTGGGCAGTCACAGTTCCAAGGATTATTCGATAGATTGATGGTGTGAAGGCTTTTGAACTTCTTCAGATCAGGAATGTTGCTCAGCTTATTATTCTCTAGGTAGAGGCTTTCTAGTCCCGAATGCAGTCCATCAAAGGCCCCGTCAAAGATCTGCATTGAGAAACCAACAAACCCAATATTATGAGGACAAGAATGAGAACAACCTTTGTTCTCCCTGGGACTGTAGGCATTGCTGGCATTTATTGTCCATCCATACAAGTGCCAGGCTATGACCATCTCCAAGCAGGCAGAATCTAACCATCTCTCTTGGACATTCGATGGCATTTCCATTGCTAAATCCCCCACTATTAACATGCGGCTGGTTCCCACCGAACAGAAACTGAACTGGACCAACTTTATAATTACTGATTCATAGAGGGCTTGACAGGATAAATACAGAGAGGTTGCTTCCCTTTCTGGGAGGGTCCAGGACCAGTGGGCATAATCTCATTGTAAGAATTCACCCATATAAAATAGATATGAGGAAAAATTGACGGTATTGAATCTGTGAAATTCTTGATGCAGAGGGCAGTTGAGGTTGGGTTATTTCAAGGCCAAGGTAGACAGATTTTTAATCAGTAAGGGAATCAAAGGTTATAGGGAAATGGAGTGAAGATTATTAGATTAGGCATTAAGGCATCAGAGGATTAGATAGGGTGGACAATGGGAGCCTTTTTCCTCGGATGGTGATGGCTAGCACGAGGAGACATAGCTTTAAATTGAGGGGTGATAGATATAGGACAGGTGTCAGAGGTAGGTTCTTTACTCAGAGATTGGTAAGGGCGTGGAATGCCCGGCCTGCAAAAGTAGTAGACTCGCCAACTTTAAGGGCATTTAAATGGTCATTGGATAAACTTATGGATGATAATGGAATAGTTTAGGTTAGATGGGCTTCAGATTGGTTTCACAGGTCGGCGCAACATCAAGGGCCGAAGGGCCTGTACTGCGCTGTAATGTTCTATGTTCTATGTTCTATTATCCCATTGAATGGTGGAGCAGACTCGATGGGCTGACACTACCAGTCTGAAACGTCTTATATACTTCAACAAGGAGCTCCAGTACATTCATTTCCAAGTATTATTGGGTTTCTTTGCCTGTTAAAGGCCTCTAAAGTCCTAGGTGTGTAAAGGCTGGCATATTTCTGATCTCAGGGGCTCAAAACAACAAATTAAATCGATAAATTGTCTTTGACTTTGGGAAAAGGTCAAAAGCTGTTCACAAGAACGTGAACAAACAAAATTTGGCACTACGTCAAAAATTAGCTCAGGAAAGAGAAGCAGCTTGAAGGAAAGGAGAGATTGGACAGGTTCATGGAGGGAATTCCAGATCTTAAGTTCTATCCAGGTGCTTGCTCAGAATAAAGATCAGGTACGTTTAATCACAAGGATTTCAGGTATTGCATTTTGGTAAAACAAACATGGGCAAGACAGATACAATTAAAGGTAGGGCCGTAGAACAGAGAGACCTAGGGGTTCAGGTACATAATTCCTTGAAACTTGTGTCGCATGTAGATGGGGTGGTTAAGAAGGTTTTAGTACTCTTGCCTTCATTTTTTCTTTATTCATTCATGGGATGAGGGCATCACTGGCTAGGCCAGCATTATTGCCCATCCCTAATTGCCCAGAAGGCAGTTTAAAGTCAACCACATTGCTGTGGGTCTAGAGTCATATGTAGGCCAGACCAGGTAAGGATGGCAGTTTCCTTCCCTAAAGGACATTTGTGAACCAGATGGGGGTTTCCCCCCCCGACAATCGATTCACGGTCATCATTAGATTCTTAATTCAAGGCATATTTATTGAGTTCAAATTCCACCATCTGCTGTGGCAGGATTTGAACCCAGTCCCTGGAACATTATCTGTGCCTCTGGATTAACAGTCCAGTGATAATACCACTAGGCCATCACCTCCCCACTTTGGGTATAGGAGTTGGGACATCATGTTGAGGTTGTACAAGACATAGGTGAGGCCACTTATGGGGTACTGTGTCCAGTTCTGGTCGCCCTGTAGGAGGAAGGATATTATTAAGCTGGAGAGGGTTCAGAAAAGATTTACCAGGATGTTGCCGGGAATGGAGGGTTTGAGTTATAAAGATAGGTTGGATAGGCTGGGACTTCTTTCACTGGAGTGTAGGAGGTTGAATGGTGACCTCAAAGAGACTTATAAAATCATGACGGGTATAGATAGGGTGAATGGGAAATGTCTTTTCCCTAGCTTGGGGAATTTCAAGACTAGGGGGCATATTTTTAAGGTAAGAAGGGAAATATTTATGAAGGACATGAGGGGCAACTCTTTTACACAGCGAGTCTTCCACATGTGGAATGAACTTCCAGAGGAAGTGGTGGATGCGGGTATCTCATAGCTGGACATTAAAGCAACCAAAATGATATCTTACCGTCTCCAATCCCATATCATTCAGCCATAAATGTTGTAGAGAACCAGCCACCGGTAGGAAGGCAGAATCACCTATTTGTTTAATTGGATTGTTGTTTAGTTTCAATTCATTCAGAACTGGCGCTCCCATGAGAGCAATGGTGGGAACTGCCGTCAGTTTGTTCTCGTCTAGAAACAGCCTCTGGAGCCCACTGATGGGCTGCAAAGCTGTGGGAGAAATGGAGGTGAGGTTGTTGCCCGTCAGGTAGAGCCATCGCAGGTTCTCAGCTCCTTCCATGTTTTCATCGGTCAGTTGGGGAATGGGATTGTATTCCAAGTGAAGGGCAAAGAGGTTGGGCAGCAGTTTGAATGCTCCCTTGGGAATGGATGTTAACTTGTTGTCGTCTAAGTATAGGTAAGTCAGGTGTGGCAACCCCTCAAAGATGGTTGGCTGGAGACTCGATATCTCATTACCAGACAGGTAAAGGTAAATGAGTTTCTTTAAGCCACGGAAGGCACCAGCATGGATCTCATGAATTCTGCAGTTCTGCATATGAAGTGAAACCAGGGATTTCAAATCTGAGAACGAGCCTCTGGGCACTAAGTAGAAGTCATTATAGCGCATATCGAGAAGATGGGCATCTACAGGAAAACCCTTCGGGATTTTGCGTAGCCCCTTGCCCTCACAGCTGGAATGTTGCAAGTCATGTTTGCAGTCACAGTGCTCTGGGCACTGGTGGTTTTCTTGGTTATTTTTCTCCGCCTCGCTCTGGAGATTGAGCTCCTCTTCATCCTCATGGTCAGAGGGCCGGCTGACACATTTCAGGTCAGTTGTCCGCAGCGAATCCAGTCGCTCTTCACGGAACACTCCCGGCGCACTGCAGAACACCTCCGCCCTCAGCTTGGTGCGGTTGGAAATCCATTCTCGGAAAGGAATCATCAAACAGTTGCACTGGATTGGATTTCCTGTCAGGTTGATCATTCTCAAGGCCTCAAGCCCCTCCAGGGGCTGCATGACCTGAAGTTGGTTGTAACGAAGGTCAATCACCACCAGCCCGGGGCTGTGAATAAAAGCTGCATGAGATACCTCCTGAAGGGACATGTTGTCCAAACTGAGGTGCTTCAGTGAACCCATTTGGACAGAATCTTCGCCAAGGTGGGTCATAGGGTTCCGACCAAGATCCAGTCTGGCCACATTTTTGAGCCTGGACAAGGCCTCTGTTGGCAGATACTGAAGCTCATTGTCATCCAGACTCAATCTCTTCAGTGTCCACAGCCCAGCAAAGGCCTCATCTGCAATATTGTTGAGCATGTTGTTGGACAAGCGAAGGTATTTAATTTGCTGGAGACCCTGAAAGACCAAAGGGGGCAAGTAGACCAGGACATTCCCTTCCAGATTTAAGAAGTTTAGGAAACCCAGCTGGCCAAAAGCTCCAGGCCGGATTTCCTCAATCCTGTTGTTGTTAAGGATGAGTTGTTGAAGGGACATCAGGCCATCAAAGGTCTCCTGGTAAATTAACTCAATGCTATTGAAGCCTAAATTCAGGGAGATCAGCTGACCAAGCCCCCTGAAAGCACCTTCTGCAAGATGGTGAATCTTACATTTCTGTAAATTTAAGTGAGTCAGATAGGGAATCGGAAGGAAAGCTCCTGTTGGAATGATGTTGATGTTGTTCCCCTTGATATCAAGCTGCTTGGTGCCCTGCAAAGGAGATGATAACACAGCAGGGTCATCTATATTTTGTTTGAAACATGTTTCATTTCTCTGCTGTTGCCCTTACATCCTGTCAATAAACAATAGCCCTTTCCCAGCTGAAAGGATCGACTGGACACATGCAGTTGATGCTCTCTGCAGGATCTAAGTATGTGGTTCAAAACAGCTATCACTCAATTACACCTTACTTATGCATAAACATCCACAATGGTCTCTGCCTCCTGAAATCTACAGGAAATTGATACCCTCAGTGGGCCATTGTAGCTCCTGCCAGGTATACCTGTAGATGAGAACTCAGCGATTTCCAAAGCTGTTAAAATGGATTTCAACTTTTGCGCTCATCGTGAGTCAAAAACATATATCCCACGCTCAGACTGAGACAAAGCCCAAAATTTTCTGGCCAAGAATTGGTGGCATAGAGGACAGTGAAGGAGGTTATCTAAGATTACAAAGGGATCTTGATCAATTGGGCTAATGGACTGAGGAGTGGCAAATGAAGTTTAATTTGGATAAATGTGAGGTATTGCATTTTGGTAAACAAACAAGGATAGTGTTGTCGAACAGAGAGCACGCTTGCTTATATTGCTCAGACCACTGAGTATTGGAGTTGGGACATCATGTTGAGGTCGTACAGGACTTTAGGGAGACCTCTTCTGAAGAACTGTGTATAGTTCTTTGAGGAGTTAGAGGAACACAGCAGGCCAAGCAGCATCAGAGGAGCAGGAAAGTCGATGTTTCAGGTCAGAATCCTTCTTCAGAAACGGGCAGGGGATAAGGGAGCTCAGAAATAAATAGAGAGAGGAGGGGTGGGGCTGGGGAAGGTAGGTGGGATGGTGATAGGTGAGTGCAGGTAGAGAGTGGTGGGGATTGGTCATTGAGGTGGGAGGAGCAGATAAGTGGGAGGGAAGATGGACAGGTTGTGTCAGGTTAAGGAGGCAAGGATGAGAGGGAGGGTTGGTCATGGGATGAGGCATGGGGGTGGGGAGAAAATTCCTCAAAACTTCAAATTCCTCAAAAGCGTGGCTTGCTGTGTTCTTCCAGCTCTATGCTGTGTTATCTCTGACTCCAGCATCACCAGTTCTTACTATCTCCGTGTATAGTTCTGGTTTCCCTTTTAAATGAAGGATATATTAAATTGGAGAGAGTTCAGAAAAGATTTATCAGAATGTTGCCAGGACTGGAGGATTTAAATATAAGATTGGGCTGGATAAGCTGGGACATTTTAACTGGAGGGTAGGAGGTTGAGAGGTGACCTTATAGAGGTTTATAAAATCATGAGGGGCATAGATAAAGTGAATAACAAAGGTCTTTTCCCCTAGGGTAGGTGGGTTCAAAACAAGGGGGCGTATTTTTAAGGTGAGAGGAGAAAAATTTAAAAGGGACATGAGGGGTCATTTTTTTTACACAGAGAGTGGTTTGTGTGGAATGAACTGCCAGAGGAAGTGATGGATGCAGGTACAGTTACAATGTTTAAAAGATACCTGGACAGGCATGCGAATAGGGAAGGTTTAGAGGGATATGGGCCAAATGCAGGCAAGTGAGACTAGTTTCGTTTGGGAAACTTGGTCGGTGCAGACAAGTTGGACTGAAGGGTCTGTTGTATGATTCTATGACTCTACGACACATGAAAAATAACAGGTCCAGGCCCTGGGAAAAGTTGCAGAGAAAAGAAAGCACTGACGGAAAATGTGATAAAGAGTGAAGAAGATGAAGCCAGGTGTGGCTATGCACTGTGAAAGTCACCTCTGTTGTTTTCAACCAGCTGAGCCATAAGCTCTGATCCTCCCTAAAGCTCTCAGCCCCTCTACTGGTATCTCCTCTTCTAAAACTCTTCCTGAAACCTACCTATAGATTTTAGTCAACTGCTCTCAAATCCCTGTCAATGGCTCTGTGTTTTGTCTGGCAGCACCCCGTTCAGTGTCTTGGGACATTGTGTAAGTGAAGGGCGCTATGCAAATGCAGGTGACTAGTCTTAATATCAACTCCGAGTCCTGGGGGACGCTGGCCAAGGATTGCTGCACCTGGTGAAAAAAATTGGTGCAACTGCCTTTGATGCAAATGCATACCAGTGACAGAGAGAAAACACAGAGAGGGGAAGTCCCCAGACAGCAACACATTTGAAACTCACTCGTCTGTCATATCCTGTACTACTTAGAGCTGAACCTTCCGGGCATAGATCACTATCAGCTGCCACCCACAGGACCCCGATCCAGGGTCACCTACGCTTCAGAGGATAAACAGAGAGACATGAAAGTGGGTGCTCATTCTTCTCAAAGTTTCCAAACTCCTGCTCGGATTGGACTGGACATCACCAGCATGGCCACCTTGGTTTTTTTTTCCTTATTCATTCACGGGATTTGCTGCCTATCCCTAATTGCCCCTGGACTGGAGGCTTTGTCAGCCATTTCAGAGGGTTTGACAGTGAGCCACATTGCTGAGGGTCTGGAGTCATGTGTAGGGTTGTAGATCAGGTAAGGATGGCAGATTGCCTTGCTTGAAGGACATCAGGTGGGATTTTTCTTTATTCGTTCACGAGATGAGGACGCCGCTGACCAGGCCAGCATTTATTGCCCATCCCTAATTGCCCAGAGGGCAGTTAAGAATCAACCAGATTGCTGTGGGTCTGGAGTCACATGTAGGCCAGACTAGGTAAGGATGTCAGTTTCCTTCCCTAAACACATTATTGTCCCCACATTGGGACATTAGCGAACCAGATGGGCTTTTCCCCTAACAATTGGCAATGGATTTATGATCATCATTAGATTCTTAATTCCAGCTATTTATTGAATTCAAATTCTACCATCTTCTGTGGCGGGATTCAAACCCAGGTCCCCAGAACATTACCTGGATCTCTGGATTAACAGTCAAGTGATAATACCACTAGGCCATCACCTCCCCTATCCCTAATCGCCTTTGAACTAAGTCGCTTGCTAGGCCACTTCAGAGGGCAGTTCAGAGTCACCCACGTTGCTGTGGGCCTGGAGTCACATGTACTTCAGACTCTGGAAGTTACCTAGAGCAGGACAGAGGCTGGGAATCCCACAATGAGTAACTCACCTCCCGACTCCCTCAAAGTCTGTCCACCATCTACAAGGCACAAGTCAGCAGTGTGATGGAATACTCCCCACTTGCCTGGATGAGTGCAGCCCCAACAACACTCAAGAAGCTTGACACCATCCAGGACAAAGCAGCCGCTTGACTGGCACCACATCCACAAGCATCCAGTCCCTCCGCCACCAACGCTCAGTAGCCGCAGTGTGTACAAGATGCATAACAGAAATTCACCAAAGATCCTTAGACAGCACCTTCCAAACCCACGACCACTTCTATCCAGAAGGACAAGGGCAGCAGATATATGGAGACATCATCACCTTCAAGATCCCCTCTAAGCCACACACTACCCTGGCCTGGGTATATATCGCCATTCCTTCACTGTCGCTGGGTCAAAATCCTGGAAATCCCTCCCTAAGGGCGTTGTGGGTCTGCCTACACCCCAATGTGATCCTTCCAACATAGCTCTGAAACTTGGACTGCGTGTAGATGTCACCTCAAGGCGCTTGAGAAGTATTATCAATACTGTTTGAGACGGATTCTTCACATCACATGGGAGGACAGACAAACTAACATCAGCATCATTGAGGAGCTAATAGTCCATGATCATCTGAAACCAAGTTCACTAGGGCCAGCCACGTGATCAGGGTGCCTGAGTTCCAACTGCCAAAGCAAACCTTCTTCACCTAACTCAAGGACCGCACTTGAATGAGACCAGGATTAAGGAGGCATTTCAGAAACTCTCTGAAGGCTTCTCTCAAGTGTGGCTCAGAAGAAACCAACTTGGAGGAACCTCCTGAATGAAGGGACACAATTCTTTAAGAACGCCCAGCGGCAAGAGGAAGTGCAGAAAAGGAACTGGAGAAAGGAATCCCTGGGATCTCAAGGCCAAGGACCAATTCCGCCTCCTGGAGAATGTGTGGAAATACAGCTCTAGGATCAGGCCCACAAATCCCATGACCAGTGACAATATATGCCAAACCGGAAGAAAATTGACTATACGGACACATGAACCTTTTAAGCCTTAAGTCCCTTTTAAATTTTACCCCACTCACCTTAGACCTATGCCCTCTAGCTTTGGACTCCCCTACCCCAGGGAAAAGACCTTGTCTATTTACACTATCCATCCCCCTTATAATTCTATAAACTTCTATAAATCCACCCCTCAGCCTCTGACGTTCCGGGGAAAGTAACCCCAGCCTATTCAGCCTCTCCCTATGCTTTGGCAGCATCTGTGGAGAGAGAAACAGAGTTAATGTTTCAAATCCATGTTCGGAAGAAGAGTCATATTGGACTTGAAACATTAACTCAGTTTCTCTCCCCACAGCCGGCAAACCTGCTGAGTTTCTGTGGCACTCTCTGTTTTAATTTCCCTAAAATATTAGTCAGGCTTTAGGATTACTAACACAGTGATATTATGACTAGACCGTTGCTTGGTATTAACCTGGTGCATTTTGCAGCACCTATGGCACAGACCTCTGGAATGGTGACAGGGACCTCTGTGAGCTGTTTCTTGATGCAGGTCACCACGTGTTGGATGTTGTCACAGACGCAGTAAGATGGACAGGCTGCAATGTCAGCCATGAAAGCCATGAGTACAGCTCCCAGGAACCAGTGCCCGGAACGCAGTGAGAGCATCTGAGAAAAGAAAACCATTACACAGTGAACCTCAACGAGACGTCTGTGTGGGGAAATAGACAGGAAAGAAGATCAGCAGCTGTTGGCCAAGGCGCTATCAAAAACTGAAAATGCTGCAAATACTCAGAGTCTTGCAGCTTCTATGGAGAGAGAAACACTGTGTAGCCTTCTCACCAGAACCCAGGGTAAAGACAGCCCCAGTAGCAGTGATGACAATATGAATGAATTTTGCATTTGGTTTGAAAAGCAGAAGTTTGGGACTAAGACTGGTGTTTTAAACCTAAATTAGGGTGATTATGTGGCCATGCAAGTTAAGCTAGCTGAAGGGAACTGGGATACTAGACTCAGGGCTAGATCAATAGAGCCAGACCTTTGAGGGCATATTTCAGAATGTAACTAACCTGTGATACAGTCCTTTGGTTGTGCTGTGTAAGCTAGTAATTCATGGATGTTGTAAGGTACAGAGTGTTCCAGTGGTTGCTCTGTGCCAAAATCGGGACAAAATCGGAGTAGTGAAGTAACAACCTGACTTGGTCATTCTCATGGAGTCATATTTTACTGGCAAAGTCACCGTGAGAATGTCCTGTCCCACCAGCAGGACAGAGCCACCAGAGGTGTCAGTGAAGTGGTATACAGTCAGGAGGAGGTTACTCTGGGAGTTTTCAACAATGCCTCCAGATGCCATGAAATTTCATGAGGTCATTGGTAAGGAACCAACCTGCTGATTATCATCTATTCCCACCACCTCCCACCTAAGGTGAATCAGTTCTGTCCCATGTTGAACATCAACCTGTAGAAGTACTGAAGCTGATAAGGGCATGGCATGTACTCTGGGTGGGGAACTTCAATGGCTATTTACATACCAATGTTTACATCGCTATGTCAGAGCACCAGCAATGACCAAGCAACAGTTTGGAAAAGCCTATCAGATAACAAATTACTTAAATGTTAATAATACATAGAAATCTCAGAAATATCTTAATTCTTAATTTAATATCTTCAAATGCCTTGATCCAATCTGAAAAAAAATGCGTCAATCATTTTCTGCAGAGCAAATAACATTGGTTAAGTTTACTGAGTAACATAATTTCTTGCTCTCCAGTTACAGTCATAGACTTGTACAACACAGAAACAGACCCTTTGATCCAACCCATCCATGGCGACCAGATATCCTAAATTAATCTAGTACCATCTTATTAGCGTTTGGTCAATATCCTTCTAAACCCATTCTATTCATGTACCCATCCAGATGCCTTTTAAATGATGTAATTGTACCAGCCTCCACCGCTTCCTCTGGCAGCTCAGTGTATTGAGTATAGGAGTTAGGAGATCATGTTGCAGCTGTAAGGGATGTTGGTTAGGCCACTTGTAAAATACTTCTTTTCAATTCTGGTCTAGTCCTTGCTCTGCTTTGCTCACTATCTGCTTGAGTCCAGGGTAAACCCACGTACCACATTCATTATGGTTGTTGTGAGGTGGTTATTACCTGGGGCATTCATGAGGCTGGAAGCCTTGTGGATAGATGTGGTCAGTCCGCAGTCTAGGTGAATGCAGAGAGAGAGAGAGGGAAAGGATCAGACATTGGAGTACCCCAAATGCATCCTACTTTCCAACCAGCATTCAGTCCCAAACCTCTCATGATTTTCAATACAGTAATCCAATCTCCTCTCCTGGGGAGAAATTGAATGCAAAAGCAAAATACTGCAGCTGTTGCACATCTGAAGTAAAAATAGAAAATGCTGTGAATACTCAGCAAGATGGGAGAGTCGGAGTTAACATTTCAGGTCAGGACCTTTCATGAGAATTGGGAGAAGTTATAGGTTTTAGGTTGAGGGGGAGAGGATGGGAGGGAGGACAAAGGGGAAAGTCTGTGATGGGGCTGAAGGGCAGGAGAGATCAAAAGATAAAGGTGCAAGGCCAAAGGGAGTGGGAAGGAGGTAATGAAAGAAACAGAAGATGTATCTAGAAGAGGTGTGAATGGCAGGGTCCTAAATAGTTCCTGCCCATACATGGAGTGAAGGAAGTATGAGAGATTAGAGGGAAAGACCCAAACCAGCAAAGTAAAACAAACAAAAGGAAGGGCGGAGGTTACAATCTGACATTGTCAAACTCACTGCTGACTCCAGGATGGTGCAATGTACCCGTTTGAAATATGATAATGTCTGAGGAGAGTGAAAGGGAGATGCATTTTCTTAGTGAGATCAATCAGTGAGTAAGCAGAACTCAATCTTAACTAAATCTTACTATGGGAGCAAAAAACAGAAACCAAAGAACTATATTGGGAGCAAATTACTGGAGATGCTGGAATCTGACTGTCTGTATGGAGTTTGCACATTCTCCCAGTGTCTGTGTGGGTTTCCTCCAGATGCTCCGGTTTCCTCCCAAGATGTCCAAAGATGTGCAGGGTAGGTAGATTGGCCATGCTAAATTACACATAGTGCCCAGGGATGTTTAGGTTAGGCAGGTTAGACATGGGGAAGATCAGGGGTAGGATAATGGGTCTGGATGGGATGCTCTTTGGAGGGGCAGTGTGTACTTGTTGGGCCAAATGGCCTGTTTCCACACTGTAAGGATTCTATGACTCTATGATTCTATGTACTGAAAACATAAAATGCTGGAGATCACAGCGGATCAGGCAGCATCCATGGACAGAAAACAACCTAACATTTTGAGTCTTAGATGTCTCGTTGTGATTTCCAGAGAACTATAGGCCTGTTAGCTTCACATCAGTAGTAAGAAAAATGGTATAATCTATTACAAAGGATGGGATAAATGGAATGTGGGAATCATGTGAGCTGCTTAGGCAAAGTCAATGTGGATTTGCAAATGGGAAATCATGTTTGACAAACTTGTGCTTGAGGATATTGCTAACAAGATTAATACAGGGGAGTCAATGGATATGGTATCCTTGGATTTTCAAAAAGTTTTTGATAAGGTGCCCCACAGCAGGTTGGGTAGCAAAATTAAAGGACATGAGATAGGATGTAATGTACTGGCATGGAATAAAGATTCATTAACAGAAAGAAAACAGAGAGTAGGAATAAATTACTCATTTTCATGTTGTCAGGCTATGATTAGTGGGGTACCGCAAGGATCGGTACTTGGGCCCCAGCTGTTCACAATATACATTAATGGTTTAGGCTTGGGGACCAAATACAATATTTCTAAATTTATGGTTGATACAAAGCTAAGCAGGATTGTGTGTTGTGAGGAAGATGTAAAGTGGCTTCAGGAGAATTTGAACAGGCTTAGTGAGTGGTCGAGGATATGGCAGATGGAATACAGTGCAGAAAAATGTGAGGTAGGAGGAACAGATGAGCAGAGTATTTCTTACCTGGTAAAGTGTACGAAGGGACCTAAGTGTCCTTGTTGCTAAGTCACTGAAGGTTAACACACAGGTGCAACAAGCTATTGGGAAGTCTGTTGGCATGTTGACCTCTATTGCAGGACGATTTGAGTGCAGGAGTACTGAAGTCTTAATTCATCTGGAGCGGAGCTTGGTTAGACTGCACCTGGAGTGCTGGGTGCAGTTTTGGTCTTCTTATCTCAGGGAAGATATTACTGCCACACAGGAAGTAGAATCGTAGAATCTCTACAGTTTGAAAGCAGACCATTTGGCCCATCAAGTCTATACCAAGCCTCCAAAGAACATCTCATCCAGACCCACCCCACTACCCTATAACCTTGCATTTCCTATAATCCTGCCTTTCCTACACATCCCTGAACACTTTGGGGCAATTTAGCAATCCATCTAACCTGCACATCTTTGGACTGTGGGAGGAAACCAGAGCACCCGGAGGAAACACACGCAGACACAGGGAGAATGTGCAAACTCCACACAGACAATCTCCCGAGTGCGAAATCGAACCTGGCTCCCTGTGAGGCAACAGTGCTAACCACTGAGCTACTGTGCCACCCAAGGTTCACCAGACTTGTTCCTGGGATGGCAGGACTGTCCTGTGGAGGGAGATCGACGAACTGGGTCTGTATTCTCTAGAGTTTCAAAGGATGAGAGGTGATCTCATTGAAACTTACAAAATACATAAAGGGATAAAACAGGTTATACGCAGGTGAGATGTTTCCCTGGTTGAGGAGTCTAGAACCACAGGGTCACAATTTTAAAAAAGGACGATGCCACTGAGGACTGAGATAAGGAGAAATGTTTTTACTCAGGGGGTTGTGAATCTTTGGAAGTCTTAACCCCAGAGGACTGTGGAATCTTGGTCCTTGGGTATGTTTAACATAGAGATTGGTAGATTTCAGATTGCCAATGGTCCACAGGGTGATAAGGATAAAAGGCATTGGAGTGTTTGATCAACTGTGATTGTACCAAATGGCAGAGCAGGTGGGATAGGTTGAATGGCCTACTTCTGTTTCTAAGTTTCTACTTAAGTGATGGCCTTGTTAAATCAAAGAAAGGTGAGATAGCGAGAATGACAGAAACAGGTATGATGCACTTGCAGAAACATTTGCAATGCAACCACTGTTGCAAAATATGAAATAATTGAAATGGAAGTATTTTATATCAAACTGTAGCATGTGTATTAAAAAAAATTGCATCTTACTCCTGTAGAAAGGCATGACCTGTCTTTCTATAAAAACTTTAGACTGAGCTGGGTTCATAACCAATATTTTAGAAGGGTCGTCACTAACACATGCAGAGAACATGGCAGCCTTTACTGAGTTAGACAGGCATGTGATAATCATAAGAATAAACTCAATCTTTCTTTGTAGTGCTGATTGAGGGACAAACATTGACCAGGACACTGCAGAGGTCTCCCTGCTTTCCTGAATAACTCCGCAATTTTACATCTACCTGAGAGAGAATGGGACCCCATGTTTTAGCATCCCATTCCAAATCATATCACTTCTGACAATGCAGCACCCCCTCAGTCCTTCACTGCAGTGTCAACCTAGATTATGTTCTTGAAGCTCTGGAATAGGTCTTGAACAGATGGGCTGCTGGATTATTACCACTTTAATAGCTTTTCCTGAACATG